GGCACACACACACGCACGCACACACGCACGCACACGCACGCACACACGCGCACGCACACACGCACGCACACGCACACGCACACGCATGACACCAACACACGAACACAGTCTCACACAGGCAAAAGAAAGACACACAAACCCATGCGCAACATACCCGTCAACCAGTCGGCATGTCCTCAGGCGCCGATTTGAAGGAAATGGATTCTTCGACGTGCCCCATCCCTCCGTCACGCCGTCCAAATGAGCAATCAAGATTCCTTCAACAACAACAGTAAACTACCAGCTCCCCACTGTGGTAGATATCAACTTCCAGAAGTAGTATGGTCTCACAATACCGTCTATACCTTGATCCCGTATGGTCGTTTCTTGAGGTGATCCCCAGACAATCAAACCATCACCTCCAGACAATCAAACGCCTACCCGACCCTACGCCCTCTACCACAACACGGCACGCATCGCCTGCCACGTGCAGGTGTAGATTGCCCTACCTTCCAGGTCAAGTCTGTTTACTCCCCACGATCTCCCGCTCCCTGTTCCCAACTATATTAACACTTATCGTCTTCCCTCTCCTATGGCAGGCACTGCTCCTGTCTACCGCACTCCATCGCACGCGCCATGCTCGTATGATCAGTTTGACTTCGAACAGAGGCGGCACTGCCGCGACATGTAGCACCCGTGGAACCGGGGCCGGGGCCGCGCGCGGGTGGACTTACGGGAGCCCAGGGCCCGGCATACTGATGCGCTGGGTAGAACATTTTTGGACTGCCTGGATGATCCGTCTTCCCGCGAATATAAGGTCCGTACAACGTGGCGCCAAAAATTCGAATATACCGTACGGTCAAATAAAACTTGGCCAACGTACCTGCGTACCTACGATTTTTATATCCGAATGTGAGCTGTGTTTGAACGGACCATACTGCATATTCCAGGAGATCACACTGCGTACGAATCCATCTACTGAGGGCATTACTTCACACGCGCACTTTTACCGAAATTACGTGCAGGCCTGGACGAATCTGACCGTAATCACGTCCAGAGCTAAGTAGAAAAAGTCCTAAACTAAATTGTTTACGTCATGCCAGCACTACTCAGCTTGGGTTATAACGTGTCAAAATTTTCACATATGCTACACTAAACCAAGATGGAAATTTGCTACAATGATAATAAAAAGGCCTGACTGATTGGACATCTAATTGAATTGGTTGGGCTTCAAAAAATTAGGGCATCGCCACACCGGCCCAGTCCTGTGCTCGGGCCCGACACTCGGGGAGAGGGGGCTAGTAGCAGTGTGCTAGTGGTATATCCTTCGCGAGGGAAGTAATCAATGCCGTCCACTCGGACCTCCCAGACATAATGGGAAGGAGCGGTTGTGCGAGTAAAATTTGTATTCGTTTGTCTTGCCAGTGGAGAAGGAACCCCACCCCACTGCTGCTCCCCAGAGTAGAATGAGCCTTGTTTTGCTCCCCCGAGTAGAATGAGCCTTGTTTTGCTCCCCCGAGTAGAATGAGCCTTGTTTTGCTCCCCAGAGTAGAAGGACCCTTGTTTTGATAAGGAGGACCCCTATGGCGGGTGTCTCTTTCTATTTTTTTTCTGCAGAAGATACATGCTTCATTTTGCACATTAGGGGAGTGGTGTGGGGAGGCCCTTAGGGTCTCCTTAGACTTCCTTACCAGTCCTAGAAAACTTAGGACTAGCCCTTATAATATTTTTGGATTTTCAGCATCCTGGTCCCACTCGTCCGAAAAATTGCGCTCTTTATGTTTCCTTGGAGAGCAAAAAAAACAAAGGGCCTATGTATTCTTCTTTTTTTTTTTTTTTATGCTCCAGTCTATTCGTGGGGAGCAGCACGTGCTGGGAACCGGGCCCACAATGGGCCTATCTCAGTTGGTACACGGATGAACTGTTGAAATACAGACCTGAGTTCAAGTTTTGATGCAATCAGCTTAGCAGAATACTGTAATCTGCATTACCTGGGGCCGGTCAGCTCAATGACGAATCTTGAAATACAGAACTGAGTTCGATTTTGATGCAATCAGATGAGCAGAATAGTGTAATCCTGCATTACCTGGGGCCGGTCAGCTCAATGACGAATCTTGATGCAAATCAGATGAGCAGAAGTTATGCATCACCTGGGGCTCGGACCCACTAGCCATGTTATGTTTTCGTCATTTAAAACTTGGTTTCAAAAAACAAAAAAGAATTGGAAATCCATGTTGTAAAAGATTACTTTTTGGCTCTCTGATGGGGGGCAGGGGCCAGATTTGCAAGTCTCTCCTCTTTTCACGGGTAGTCACGCAGCCCTCAGAGCCTCGTTCCACGTCCACGCCACTTGAGTTCAAGTACGACGCGAAAACTCAGCGTTCCACCCCGCCCTAGAGAAATGCTTTTTTGTTTCCACATTTTGCATCTCAAGTGGCTGCAACCGCTCTTGAAACTCAAGTGCAGCCCAGGCAATATCGCACTTGAGTTCAAGTCACCTCCCGGAGGTGCCTTGAGCTCAAGAGCTACCCTTGGGTTTCAGCCGCGGGTGCAGATTTTTTTTTTTTTTTTTTTTTTTTTACACAGCGCGTTCCTGGTTCACGGCCTGTCATTTTCGCGGTCCAGCCAGCAAGGGCTACCGGAGGCAGTACCGGGTGCCAGCAGTGGAACCGTGGGAGGTGGTGGCTGCGGATTCCAGCGGGCCCTCGAGGCACATACGCGCGGTGACCGTTGAAGCGCGCACTGCACCGTCAACGGGGTGGGGGGGTTCAAATTGGTCGCGCTCTACAGCTGCACGTAGCCGTTGGGACGGAATGTTCTGGGCGAGGGATGTTCTACCGTGGAAGCTCCACATGGCAGTACAAGACAAGCACGGTTGCTGCAGATTGCTGCACCGGCGTTCGCGCATGCTTCTGCAAACCTCAATTGTCGTTTCCTGTCGTTTGCACTGTGCTGCGACGTGCATGGCGGACCATGTGAGGAAGGTGTCGCTGCTTTGTCTCCTCCTCCTCCTATTGCTGCTGCTGCTCATACTGCACCTGTGATCTTCAAGGCGTACAAGGGTTGTGCCCCGCAAGCGGAAGACAACGAAATTGAGCACGCGTCCGGCATGTAAAGGAGGGATGGGTGGCAATGTCCACCGCACTCGCACGCGTCCAAGTGCAGTACAAGCCTGTGTCCACTTCCGCGCATGTGGCAATTTTGTACGCTGTGGACCGCCGCACTGCACCACCAACAAATTTCGAATTTGAAAACCCGCTGCACACACGCTCCCACACTGCACCTCCCCCCAAACGGTCCCTCGAGTCCAAAACAGCACACCGCAGGCGGACATATTGAAGGTCGGGTGGCGGCCTACTGGATCGCACGGCTGCCTGTAGGTCTCCACACAACGAGGACCCAGGGTTTTTTTCTTTCAAGTGCGACAATTTCAAGTGCACTCTCTAGTGTGCATGGAACGAGCAGGCGGTGGTGTAAATTAATCACAATTTCATGATTAGGGCGCACTTTTATACACAATTCATTGTCGATTGTCTTTTGTTTAAGTAATTTCTAGATTTACGGTTTGAGCGGTTCCGAGCCTTGGGGTTTGGGGAATTAGAGTCGAAAGTCCGTTTGGACATCAGAATTGATTTCCTATTTTGTCTTTCTATTTGGATTCTCAATCCTTATCAGATCTCGTTTTCAATCCCATCTTCATCTTGATCGACTTTCTGAATTCAATTGAAATTCGTATTCGTGTGCAATTTTCTAAAAAGTTTATTCTCAAGTAATGAGTTTTAGTGCGGTTTTGCAAATAAAAAGGGGGGAGGTTGAATTAGAGGTAGGTGGGAAGTGGGGAGCTCACTTAGAAGAGGGACCGGCGGTTCAGAGTGGTAAGTCTAACTAGAAGGGTGGGGTGGGACGACGTTGGTCGGTGCTGGAGCTTTTGCTCTGTGACCAGGGGGAGCCTAAGGCCATTGAAGTTATGCCGAGGGTGGAAGGCATAACCATCTCGCCCGACGTAGCTGTTGTCGGGGCGGTAACCCTGTTTGTCCGTCAGAATTAGTTAGATCGGTACTGGGGCAATTTGTGTTGCCTTGTAACCCTAACAGAGGGGGTATGAGATCTGATGATTTCTGGTACGAGGACTGAAAGTTTGGTCGGCGTGTCCTTCATCGGTGGCGAGGGTAGGAGTTGGATTGTTAGTGGTTCTAGTTCTTGTCCTTCCTCCTTTTGTTTTTTCAATGGAGGGTGAAAATTGGAAGCACGGTTTGGAAGAAATTTTGGGTGGGCTTACGCAATAGGGGAAGGGTGGCTCAAGGTGGTAAGTCTACTAGAAGGACGGGGTGGGGCGACAGTGGTCGGTGCTGGAGCAATGGCTCTGTGACCATGGGGAGGAGCTTGAGGCCATTGGAGTTAGGTCGAGGGTGGAAGGCATAACCACCTCTTTCAACATAGCTGATGCTGGGGCAGTGACCCTGTAACCCGGTAGGGGGTTTGGCAACTAAGGAAGTTGTCGAGGGAGGAAGGCACTTCCTGTCCGTCAGAAAACAGTGAGTTCGATGCTGGGGCAGTTTGTGTTGCCTTGTAACCCTAGCAAGGGGGGTGTGAGAACTGGCGACTTCTGGTACGAGGACTGAAAGCTTGAGTGACGGTTTCTCGCCTATCGTGACGGTTTCTCACCTGTAGTGAGGGTTAGGATTGATGGTGGTTTCAGCTCTGATTTTCGTTTCTCTAATTTTCTTTTTTTTATTTGAATTGTGCACATGTCTTGCTTTTTCTCTCAAAGAGGTGAGGGGGACAAGTAGATGGCTAGATAACAAGCGTCCTACTAGTAAAGGGGCTAGCTCGTAGGACGGAAATAGGGCACAACAGTAGCGGAGATGGTGGCTCTGCTGCAGTAAGTCTTGTCGGAGTGTGGTAAAGAGGATTGATGGGGGGGGTTGAGTTGGTTTTCTGATTTTTTTTTAAGTCTGACGTAGTAACTTGTTAAGTAACTCAATTTTTTTTAGCCAACGGTCAGGTAATGACCCCGGTATCTCAAATTTTCATATTACATATTCTCAGTTGTATTCCAAAGGGACGCTGAGCCCGGTTCTCAGCATGTGATGCTCCCCACGAATAGATTGGAGCCTTTGTCCCAAAAAAAAAAAAAAGGGCGCACTTGAAACTCAAGAGTTCTCAAGTGGTGTAGAACGAGGCTCTCAATATGGATTGGTCGGTTGTGTGAGCCCAATCCATAAATATATGTGAGCTTTGCTCCGATGGGTAGGCATGAATCTTGCTCTTTTTGCAGCCACATTCAAATTTGCAGCATATTTCCATGTCCGCTACAAGCTCCTATGGGAGTGGAAACAAATGGCTTTCCATTTATGGATTGTGTGCCATGAGATTGCATGGGAGCGCCCTGTGTCCCTTTTCATAAGTGGTACGCCTGTGTCCCACACACAGTTGAACATG